ATAAGCATTGTTATTGCTAAGTAGTATTTTGCTTATTAAATAGATAATGTTTTAAAATTGGAAGTAATAGGAATGCACTTAGCAAAAAAGCGTTGTATCATAGTATGCCTTGAAAGGCAAAGCCAACTGGTATTAACATAGCAATTTTGTACAGTTTTACACAGTCTGTTTGTCAGTTCTAATGCTCAGACTTCATCATGTGCTTTTAAGTTTAAATACCTATCTCACAGTGTATACAAGACAAGTGATTGTGACTTTCTGGTTTGGTGAACAGGTATAAGCCTAATCTGTGAATAATGTGTTCTGTCAGACGTTTGTTAAACAACTTCTCCATAAATGCTCTTTAAACTTTGTTTCTGTCTATCCTGTCGAAGGTTTTGCTGAAACCTCATGATGGTGAGGACTCTACTCCATGGGTGAGGCTCTTAACAGAAGTATGTCAGTAGCTACATTAACTTTACCGTTCAGGTTGAACGTTGCATATGCTGTTCTTTTGAGAGTGCTGCTCAGAGCTTTAAAACACGTCAGACTTGATGTGCTTGTAGCACTAAACTTGGGGCTTTGGGCTTGATTCCATTCTTGCAGCAGTATATGATCAACTGAAAACTGTTACAGTGTTATAATACCGGTTTTAAATCTAGCCAGACCAAGGTTGACTTTTGGAATGTTGAGTTAGTTAGCTGCAATGTGCATATACCATACAAAAATATTACTGTGCCCCACTATTTCAGGAAAGCTAAAACTTTAACATCTTTGTGTGGTAATACAGGATGAAATTACTGAAGACCGATTGTTCAGCAACATACGGTATCTCCACCAATACTCTTACTTGCACTGCAAATACTGCATTTTTTGAAACACACACACACATTCCAACTTAAAGAAGCAGCACTGTGTTTGATATGAAATGTCAGGGTTAACACCTGTATGCAAATAGTGTTCTAAAGATTAAAAGAGAGGTAGGTAATTACAAGAAGTCTGTTGAGAGAACAGTGAGGGTACATGCAGGGATTTCACTAGTGGACTGAGACGTATTTTGCAGCTGAGAGTGATGCTGCTTAGAAGGTATGATAATAAGGTACACTGTGCTTTTGTACTGGCTTTTTGCCCCCAGTTCTGCTTCATGTTCTGGTAAATGTTGACAGTTATACCCACAGGCTGATGCCTGTTACGGCACTGACAGGAATGATTCTCCTCTAGTTCCAAGTCACAGAAACACAGAATTGTTTGGTTGGAAGGGACCTCTTGAGATCTTTTAGTCTAACAGCCCTGCACAAGTGGAATCAGCTACAGTGGGATTGTAGAGGACCCTGTCCAGTCAAGCTTTGAATATCATCAAGGATGGAGACTTCACAGACTCCCTGGCCAGACTGTTCCAGTGTTTGACCACTTTCACAGAAAAAAAAATAATGTTTTCTTGCGTTCACGTTGAGTTTCATGTAAAAACAGGAAATATAAGTTTGTACTCATTGCCTCTTGTCCTTTCAGTGCTCACTGCTGAGAGGAGTCTGACTACTTCTTCATTCTCATCCATCAGTTATTTCTATGCTAAGACACACACCCCCACCCCAGCCCCTGAGCTTTCTTTTCTTCAGGCTGAAGAGTCCTAGCTCTCTCAGCCTCTCCTCATATGAAAGATGCTCCATTTCCTGAATCATCTTTGTATCCCTGTATACTCATTCCAGTAAGTCCATATCTTTGTTGTACTGGGGAGCCCAGACTGGACACAGCACTCCAGATGTGGACTCTCCAGTGCTGAGTAGCAGGGAAGGATCACCTCCTTCAATGTGCTGGCGATGCTCTGCCTAATTCAGCCAAGGGGGGCTGTTTGTCCTTCTTTGCTATGAGGGCACCTTGCTGGCTCCTCTTCAAGTTGGTGTCCACAAGGACCCCAGAGTCCTTCTCTGCAAAGCTGCTTTCCAGCCAGTCAGTCCCCAGCCTGGACTGCTGCATGGGGTTGTTCCTCCCCAGTGCAGGACCTTGCATTTCCCCCTCTTGAGAACTTCGTAAGATTCCTCTTGGGCCAATTCTCCACCTTGTCCAGGTCCTTCTGAATGGCAGCACAACCAAGTCCCACTGTGTTCTAAAAAAATCCTAGGAACAGAGTAGTGAGGAGGATAGAGAGTTATTTTTAAAAGGTGTTTTATAAATAAATTCCACAATCAAAATTAGAGTGTGAAAACCCACAAGAAACTCTTGGGTGTGGGAAGAGAGAGACATGTCTGTCCTTGTCCCACCATCTGAATGCATTGGAGCATGCAGCTTTACAATTTGAAACAGCAGATGAATCCACAGAAAAATCAATAGCTGGGTTCTTTCCATAATTATTACCAAGAAACATGGTGAGAAACTCTGTTCTCTGATGGGTGATGGGCTTCCTCACATAGTTACTTGTGTCTAAAAATTAATTTTTTACTGTGGTAAAATATACTCTCATGTTTGAATTGCTCAAAAGCAGAGATGCTACAAAACAAAGAGGAGAATTCTATACAGATTTTAGTCTTCCATTCAACAGGTTTTTTCAATGAAAGTTTATTAGTTCAAGCAATTTGCTTAAAGCATGCCTTTTTATAAATGTGTGCATTTACAAAACTATGATCAATATGTTTATTAACAGCAGATGTGCTTTTCTATCCAAGAAATCAAGAATTTGATACTTGGGCTTTACTCCGTATTATAGTCAGTATGCAGGCATGTTTTGTCTTAAATATTTGTACAGTATATTTTATATACCGATATTGTTCAATAGGCTCAGTAATCTGAGGGTGAGTGGAATCATATGTATACACATATACAACTTTAAGCAAGAGGTATTTCTTCAGCAATACTATACTGTAGGTAATTGTAGGCTTTGTAGCGCGCGCTTGCTTAACAGTTTTTTCTAGAGCTTTGGGGAAAATACTCCTTCCAGGAAAAAAAAAAATAACAGCAGCGGCCTGGTATGAGTGGTCAAACAAAAAGCACTTTTAAAAACAGAGCGATTTAAGAGTGGAGTACAGGAAGGTGGTGCTACTGAAAAACCTTCACTGAGAAATGATTCAAACTTTGAAGTGTGGGGAACCAAGGTATGGCTCCGGAAGAGTGGAGTTCCTTTCCTCCAGCATGTATGTATGCAATTTGAAAACCTGACTTTAGGGAAACTGGAAGTGCTCTGTTGAATATAGATTTGTAGCAGGGCTTGAGTAGATTGAACTAGAAAATATTTCTTCGTTGACAATCGTCTTTGCCTGAGTGAGTGGGTGTGATAGGTATGGCTTGGGAATAGACTCAAGAAACGCATGCAGTTACAGATAATGCAGCTGACATTTTTAGAGCTCTTTTGTTCATTTGTTAAAATGAACTTTTAAGTGAACTGGCAGTATCTGTGAACCACATACATTATGTGTCATTCATCCGTTGCTTTGCTGTATACCTTCCAATGAATTAAGCAACAGTATCTGGCAGGCATGTTTCATTTTTCTGAGATGCTCTGTCCTCCACTTATTAAATCTGGGCATTTAACAAATGCAAATGGGATTAATATTATGTTGGCTATCGCTGAAGTTTATGGAACTTCTCTTTTCATCTCAGTTATGCTCAGTGAGTTGTTAGGACTCTTAAATGTTCAGGTTAATTGGTTTATCTTGAGGAATTGATGTAGTACATGCTGCAAATGAGACTTCTAATGTGCAGTGCCACCCCTGTTACTGACCACAAGGAAGAATGGAAACTTTTTCCAGTTTCAAGATTCTTAATTTGGTTTATCTCCATCCTGTTATTTGGGTATTTCAAATTCTGCTTAACTATTACTGGATGTAAATACCCAGTTCTGTGTTTTCAATTAAAATTTTTTCTGCTGTTGATAATCTATGGAAGTTGTATAAGTAACACAATCTAATATAATGGTAAAATTATAAAATTTCCTCTAAGTATTCTCAGGTTTTGATATACTAAACCACTGTGCGTTTGAGTTTTTCGCTTTGTGTTGCAGAACTTCTTTGCTACACTGAAATGTCTTTGGAACCAGGTTGCCTGGCATTCGAATTTCCTTACGTTTGCATAGTATACAAAGCTTCTAAACAAAAAAACTAAATTGAGACAAATATTTCATCATAACTCCTTAAGAAAATAACTGTTACTTAATCTGTAGCACTTCTACCCAGACACTAAGCCAATAGGAAATTGAAAAACCAACCCTGCAAGACAAAGGTGAGCAGAGAATACAGACCTATTTTAGTGGGGAGCTATTAGAACTGCTCAGAAGTAAAATTTAAAAAAACCCTCTTCTAAGGTATTACTTACAGAAATTTAAATCTGTCATGTTTATTGTAATTTTCTGTGCATGGGAGATGACTAATGCAGGCACATAATTACATATAATTTTCTAATGGAACAACACTTTTTGCAATATGTTGTTTTTATTTTCAGTGACTGTTCTACTAAGTTTCATAAGTTATCTTTTTTTACCACAGACAAAGTGCAATTTTTATGAAAAGTAACATTCTGTGGGACTTGGTTTAGTGTTTTGCTGCTTATATATATGTATATATCAGGTTATGTTTGCCTTTAGAATATATTTTTTTAAATTGGCCCTTTCCCACACAAGACTTTTTCTCAGCCAGATGAGATTTTGTAACAAATGCAAAGTTCTGTATGGAATGTGAAAAAAAAAAAAAGAAAACAAAACATTCCTTTCCATATTACAATCAGTTGATTAGGACATCCAGCTACAATACCTAAAGAAGTTGTAGGCATAGGCTCCTGATCTGAATCACTTTATAGGGAAGGAGGAGTTCATTTAAACTCGTAAAGGGGGTCTAGGGAAAACAGGCTTCCTGATTTAGTTACCCATTTGTTTGCATGTAATGTTTGAGTAGAGTAAGTCAAACAACTTAGAGAAAGTATATAGAGATTTAGCAGATTTTAGGTTTAGCGATTCTGCTTTTTAGCAGTTTGGTGCTTCTAAACCAGAGTACCTCAGGAGCATAGTGTCAAAACCATGGGAACTACCTCACTTGCAGGTGTCCTTGCATTTTGAAAGCTATATTTCTGAGCACCCTTTTCCTGTCCAAGATCTACTGAAAGTCATAAAGTCCTTCTGTGAATCGGCATCTAAATCTGATGTGGTTTTGGATCCTGTCATCTGATGCAGGAGTGAATTTTAGTAACTATGTTAAGAGCTGTTCTCCCGTTGCCTGGTTTTGTAATTCTGACTTTCTTGTGGATTGTGTCAATCTGGTTGTCTGATTTCAAATAAAGCTTTTGTAGCCACATATCTCTTTCACCACAGTAGACACTGAGAACTCCTTACGTTATACAGAAGGATATTTTAAAAGCCTTTATTTTAAAGCATTTTTCCGTATATGTCAGATCAAATTATTACATAGGGTTTGTTAGGGATTACCTGTGAGGTTATATCAAGTCAGTGTTAATCCTTTCTCTGTAACTGTCCAGTTGTTTACCTTCTCCCCAAATACTGTCACAAACAATTCTGATCTTGGACATGGAATAAATATTATCAAAGGGAACCTTATGAAGTAATGTCAGTCTTGTATTCAAAAGTTCTCATTATTCTTGCTATAACTCATCTATTAACCTGGGGTTTTTTTGCAAAGGATATATGCGTGGATGGATATATTATCCTTATCAGTAAATTCTGCTGTCATTCAGTCACTGTTTATACATGTACCCCAGGAGGCTGTAGTTCACTGTTACTTTCAATGCCTTTCACATTAAATAAAATATGGAAGAGTACCTCTGATGGGTATACAAACCAGATTTCTCACTTTTTTTTTTTGTATTGCCTTTGGAATCTGATTCCAGCTTTTATTTATGCAATTGGATTACACAGTTCACAGTTCACCCCTTTAAATTGTATGGTACTGTTCTACCTTCTGTTTTTCATTCTTTACTTTTCATATGATGTCTCAGGCTACAGTTGCAAAGCAGAATTTGCAAAGGAGAGAGAACAAAGTAGACAACTAGTAGAAGTGGTGAACAAAATGTGCTTTGGGTGAACATATCATTCACGCTGATGTCTCCTTTTGATGATCTAGCATTTGAAGATCCAGTAGAAATTGTTTACAGTAGAAACAAAGGTATGCATTTTACATGTTTTATCAAGAGTAATTTAAAATATTTTTGAGGTACAGATACTTATCAATAATGCTTTGTGTCTTAAAGCCAATAAGAGATTTAGAATCCCAGCTTAAGTACAGTATGGACATGTTTGTGACGAGCAATTCATATCAGAAATATTCATACTTTTCCAAGAAAGCTGATGTCTGTGGGATGCCATCAGAGCCTTGCAATGCACTTGCCAAAAGCCGTCCTCAGTTATTGCACATGATTGCAACCTTCATTATGTGTGACCCCAGAGAATCTGTATCCACCTACTACAAGGTCGATGGAGTTTGTTATTACCAACAGTCTTTGCCGGTAGTTCGTTTCATCCCAAAGTCTTGATGTTCTGTGGTGTTGAATTTTGGATGTGTGTCTCTACGTAAGTTTGGACTGACAACCTGGGCAGTAACTAAATAATCTATTTTGGTGACTGGTTTTTATGTTTTTACAGTTCTTGCAAGAGAGGGAACAGATTCCAAAATAAACTGTAGAAGATTTCACAAGTAACAAACCTTAACTGCAGTTGCAAATTACATAGCAGTTTGAATTACCTTGTAAAGTTGTACTTAGATACAAGGATTCACCTTCTTGAATTCACACTTCTTGAATTTTGACCCTTTGGTCATGATTTAGTGCTATTTTGTAAATTTCAACTTTTCAAAATGTTACTTTCAGATTCTAAGTTAACAAACCAGATCATGTTACTTCATGATCTATAAACAGTAGGTGCTGGCAGAATCTCACAGTTATGCAGGACTTCTGCTTGGTAACTATGTTTGTGAGAATATTTTCTGGTTCTTTTCACTTGAACTGTGTTTTTCTTTGCCTAGCAGGTTAAGAAATTGAAAATGAGCTGATAGCAATTGTCATTACAAATAGCTTCAGGCTTCTTGATACAATTAATAATGTTCTGGGGCTGGTGTTCAATGAGATCGTTCACAAATAAATATGTAGCTTGTTTCCCTTATTTTGAAGTTTATTTTCTATTTTATATCAGTAATATAATCCAGGCATTCCAGTCCAAAACAGTACTTCTTGGGTGGTAGAACTCAATAGGTATTTAGTCTCATGCCTTATAAAGCTACTAGAGGCAAATTATAATTGTCTTGAAATACAATGCCTGTCATAACTTATTAAAGTTTATGTATTATCTATTGTGTAAATACAATATTGGTTCCTTTAAACACATACTAAAGTCACAGCAGAAAGTAACATCACAGTGGCCAACACTGGGAGTTAGAAAATTGTAGGGTCCATGGCCGCTTTCTCAAAACATTATCAGTTAAGCACATGAAAGGATTGCTTTTATTGACTGATTTGGCTTTAGAGCTCCTGGTGTTTACTGACTGCAGAATATGAATTTGGTTGCCACATACATTTACACAATATGATGGTGGCTGCAGAAACAAGGATTCCTGTACAAAGCTCTTTAAATTCATTATTTTCCTAAATGCATCCTAGTGGCATGGAGCAAACCTAGAGATGTTTTGGGAAAGATGATTTTGGCCTAATTACACTGTATTTTATATTAACTCTGCATTTTAATGTTATTTCTGACTGAAATTTCAGGTTGAATTTTAAAGAGACAAAATTTCCCGATTAATTATTTTAAATATCATTGCAAAATTTTTAACAGTACCCCTAACTGATAATTATTACCATCTTATACAACCATATTTTTTCTTTTGAATTTGTTTGAACAAATTAATTCTAGTGTATATTCATAAGGCTTTGAGATTGGTCTTAAACAAATACACAGAAATTAAAATGGACAGTTCAAATTTCCATCCTACTAATAAAATTCTATAAACTGTATTGAAAACATTTGAAAAAAATGGAAAAATAAGTAAGATATTCTAGTATCAGTCAGAATAATACTCTTGGTATGTTGTATATATATTACCACTATGGAAGATTTCACTAGTGGGTTTGGACCTAATGCGTCTCTGTATAAAAGCAAGGTCTATGTCTTAGAAGTGTAGGGTTTGGATTCTTGGGAAAAATGGAACTATTTCCTTATATTGTCCAGGAAATTGGTAAAGAGAGCAAAGATTCGAAAAATATTTCAAAAATCTAAGGGGAGTGGAACACATAAGGTTTTTTCTAATACATGTTTCTATTATGCAGTTTATTTAAAAATACGTGCTGCAACATCAGTGTTATAAGAATATCTGAGGCATGAAGACAACAATATTTTTTTAGATGAAGATTATACTAAACAATTCCAGGAAATCCTTTCTCTAAGTGTCAGATCTGGTTAAAGGAGAGGATATGTGGAAAACAGTAGGAAATAATCAGAAAACAGTAACTGAAAGAATGAGGATTTTTAGGTCCCATCGGTGGACTGGAGCAGGTCCATAGACAGTCTCAAGCAGAAGACAGCCTGTGTTTTGTCAATGGACCTCAAAGGGAACACGCAACTCTGTTTCTTAGTGGATTTGTTTGACTGGGAGAATGGAATCTCACCTGGTGCATATAGAAGGATATCCAGCAGCAAAAATTAATCCAAAGGTTCATCATGCATCAGCTTCAAGAAAATAATAGAAAGTTAATCTCAGTAGTTAATGTGAAGGAGACATCGCGACTGAGGACAACGAGGGGTGTTAAGAGCCGAGGTTGTGGCACGTACATAGTGCTGCAGACGTTGTTCTGCTTACTGAATAGGCAGCAGATTGATGGAAGTAGAGCATACAGGGTAAAAGCTGAGGCCAAGAGCAGGCATGAGGGAATAGAGTTTGTTGAAGACAAAAGAGATACTGAGTCAAGAGAGGAATTAGTGGAAATGAAGTTTGAGATTACTTCTTTTGTCCAGAGGAAACTTTTAAAATATGTCCATGAAAAGCCAAACCACACATTCATCTAATCAATACAGGCTGAGGAGATGAACAATGTGAAATCATTGCCCATGTAAAAAGATACATGCAGTTCTAAACGCAGCTGTGAACTTGGAAGCAAATGCTGAAGATGGAAGGAAAAAAAAAAAGTGAGTAGAAGTTAGAGAAAAAGTTGTGCTTTCTAGTTGAAGCACCAGGAGATTCGTTCTTAACTAACACCTAACTTACTTGAGCAGCTAAACTGGTTTTTAATTTAGGATAGGCTTGAACAGAACTATTCTTTTTCAACCAAACAAATCTATGGCGTATGAGATAACAGCTGTTCGACGGGCTGTAATAGCTGGGCTCACACAGTGGCTGCTCAGGTTGGTATCTGTGCCATCCCGTGTTCTCACTTGAGTAACTCTACCATTTTGTGGGAGTTATTTCCTGCGTAGCTGTGGATATCAAGACCAGAAGCCCCCAAAAATAAGCTGTTATGTTTCCTCTAAACATAAATGTTGTTATTACAATACAGTTTTTACAAAAAAGTAATAACTTTTAAAAATGAATTAAAAATTCTTCTGTAGTCTTACATCCAGGATCTGTAATGATTAACTGCTGTCAAAATTGCTATCAGATTGAAAACTACTTAGTGTTCTGCTTGCTTTCATTTTTGACAGCTATATTTGGAAAATAATCGAACAATTTTGTTAAGTCCTTTCAATTATTCCTGAGTTTATTTTAAATATTATTAACAACTGACTTTTTAAAATACTTTAGAAATCCTGCAAGTGAATTACATAGGTATTTACTTAATATCCAATATCATGATTCTTGCATCACTTCTAAACATTGGCAGTAGTAATATTTCGCTGAATATTTAGCTTTTATAGAGGAAGCTGAAAAACAAAAACACTCCATGTGCGGGCAGTCTTACAAGACACTAATATTGCCTCTTTTGCTTTACTGTCTTGGAAGAATGGCAATCCCCTTTCTTACCAAAAAGACTAGTGGCCAACACCGTGAAAATAGCACTGGTCACTTGTTCTCAGCCCACTGATTTCAGTTAGCTTTGGATGACCCAAACTGTAAAATGCTGACTAGGTGATGTAGTAAACTCTTACACAACATGTTTAGTCATGCCCTTGGAAACTGTCATAAATAGTTTCTTAATCAAATGCTTATTACGAGAAGATACTAGGGAGAAC